GTTGTTTTTATGCGGCACAGGTCATGTGATCTGATCACGCCGGCGTGACGGTCGACTCCAAAGGGTTAATATTAAATACATATAAGTATTTTTACAACTTGTATTTAGAAATACTCTGTTGTAATTATTGATGCATAAATGTGTCATCTGCTATAATGGGGTTAATGTATGATATTACTTAATAATACAATACATTATAATATGATAATTATATTTTAGTTTTATTCATTTCTTATTTCATAGTTTCTCATTATTATTATTTTTATCGCTCATCTTATTTTTGATTTTATTAATCTGTGTGAATCTGTGCTGTCCTGTTTTTCACTCTCACCCTGTTGCTGTTTGAACTACTGAATTTCCCCACGGGATTAATAAAGGTCCATCTTATCTTATCTTAATGTATAAATTGATTTACTTCAATCTACTGTACTGTGTAAAAACACCCCAACAATATTACAAGAAATATACTGCATAAAGCAAACTATATACTTTATTTGATCTAAAATATTGATGTTTTTTCATTATAGTAGCTTGTGAAAACCATACAGTAACAAATAAGTGATTAAATGCTACAGTATTCAGCAAACACAACTGCAGAGCTGTAAACATTGCAAACAGTTGTCTTTGTGTATTTTGTGAATGAAGCGCCATCTCATGGTTAAATCCTGTAATTGAACAAATGGGGAAATTGGGCAACGCCCTCTAGCAATTTGGCAACACCCCCAGCCGCTGGGCTTTTGACTGGGACACACCCACCTGAGTCTGATCTGGAGTGCTCCATCTGTATATGTTGTACTTTGGATTCCTAAAGCTTTTAGTCTACTATCCCATCATCCAAGGGTAGTTTTCACTATAAGTAAAAAAGAATGTTTGGACGGACACTATCATTTACAGTTTTTTACTATGTTCAATCTGAATTTTCTTTAAGATATAAAACATCTATATTGATTCTGACTTTTCTACATCCAACTCACAGGTTTATCATTGCTTTGAGAACAAAGATTATTAATTGAACCCTTTTAGAAGGGAAGATATGGTCATTTGTTTTGGGAATGTCATTTTCGAGCCTGAGACCTGAAAAACAGGCTCAGGGTGGAACAGGTGAAATCAGTGGTTCTCAAACTTTTTCTGTCATTCCCCACTTTGAACAGGTGGGCCTTTTCAAGCCCCACCTGTTCCTCATCGCTCCAATAAAATGGTAGGCCAAGCTTAAAATGGTAGGCCAAGCTTAAAATGGTCAAATGTATCGTTCTATAACAGGGGTCTCCAACCTTTTTTAGGATGAGAGCTACTTTCAAAAAATAAAACAAGTCGTGAGCTATTTTTACTCCTCTTTTTTTGCAGTGTATATTTAGCACATTTTAACATTATATGCTACCTTTAACCTTTGTGTGCTGTTTGGGTCTGTGGGACCCGTTTTCAGTGAAAAGAAAATGTATGATTTTTTTTTAAATGTTGAAGTTAAATGCATCAATCTGCTGCACTTTGAGCACAAAATGAATGTATGGATACAGCTCTCAACACTCGTGAAAGGGAGCTGTATACTTTTCAATAATCCAAACATCTTTAGAATATGATCACAACCAATAACAAATCATTTAAACTTGTGCATTCTTATCTTATGCTACCTAGTTTGCATTCTTTCTTTTTTATTTATGCATATTTTACTAATCACATTTTTAAACCGTTTACTGTCCTATAGTACACATTGGAATTCTCTCTCTCTCAGAGGCTGTGTGCTCCTCCGTGGCGATGATGGCTTGCGTTAAAAGATAATAATAAACATAGGCCTATTTGTAAAGTCCTGACTGCAATGCTGTTGTGTGTGAGAGCGTTTCACATGTGTGTATGAGAGATTTTTACATATGTCTGCAAATTACTTTGGTTTCAGTTGTGTGTGTGTGAGCAGGCTCGGATTGGCCATCAGGAGATTCGGGACTTTTCCCATTGGGCCGCTGCCGTTGGTGGGCCGCTGGCTCTGGCATAGGTGTGCCGTGGACTTTCGCTGCGCCGGTACCGCATCCGCCGCCGCAAACTCCCGCCGTTGCGAGGCTCTGGTGGCTCCGGCAGGTCCGGTGCAGCGGTGCTGTGAAAGTCCACCGCCGTTGCAATAATCCATTACCGCCTGCGAGGACCCAGGTTCGATTCAGGCCTGAGGTCCAAAACAATTTTTAAATAAAAAAAAAAAATCTCCCGTTCATCGCGTCCATTCGCGACCCACCTATCACATCTCTGCGCCCCACCAGTGGGGCGCGCCCCACACTTTGAGAAACGCTGGGTTAAAGGAATGATCAGCATCAGTAGAAACTTCATTCTAAGCACAATGTATCCCGTACCCTGCCTCTCCCTCAACCCCAGTCTCCCCAAGGCAAAACACTTTTGCTGACCAAGACTCAGCCAGCTATCAAGAGTTACAATTTCCCCTTTATTCGCTGTTCACGTTATGTCAAGTCTGCTCGTAACGGAGGCCGATAAACCCAGGCGTTCTCATTTTGGCCCATCATTTTCAGTAGGGAGACATTGTCACGAACTTGGAAACACAAGGTATTGGACTCAAATGCACGACCCAGGTAAAGTATGAGTAAGATACTTTATTCCAAAAATCAGGATATAAATAAGAATCGACACTCTTGATGAGGTGACAAAAAAGGTTAAAAAAGGCACAAAAGAAAATCGCTCACTAAGTGAGGAACAAACTTACAAAATAACTTGAGAGCATAAATCAGGCTTGAGACAAGGTGAGTAATCGCAGGCACGCTGACTACTTGCATAAAGACAGGACAAGACGAACTGACACAGGACAAGACGAACTGACACAAGACAAGACGAACTGACACAGGACAAGACGAACTGACACAAGACAAGACGAACTGACACAAGACAAGACGAACTGACACAGGACAAGACGAACTGACACAAGACAAGACGAACTGACACAAGACAAGACGAACTGACACAGGACAAGACGAACTGACACAGGACAAGACGAACTGACACAAGACGAACTGACACAAGACAAGACGAACTGACACAAGACGAACTGACACAAGACAAGACAAACTGACACAAGACGAACTGACACAAGACAAGGGGAGACTGGGGCATTTAAACAAAAGGTAACTGGGCGAAAGGAGCCAGTTGAGGTGGTTCGGGCACCTAGTTAGGATGCCACCTGGGCGCCTCCCTTGGGAGGTGTTCCAGGCACGTCCAGCTGAGAAGAGACCAAGGGGTAGACCTAGGACCAGGTGGAGGGATTATATCTCTTCGCTGGCCTGGGAGCGCCTTGGGATCCCCCAGTCAGAGCTGGTTGATGTCGCCAGGGAAAATAAAGTTTGGGGCTCTCTGCTGGAACTGCTACCCCCGCGACCCGACCACGGATAAGCGGGAGAAGATGGATGGATGGATGGTAACTGGGCACAGGTGGAAACAATCAGGGGCGGGGCTGGCGCTGATTAGGGCGGGAGACACACACACGGGTAGGGAGTCAAGGAACCTGGAATGAAATGTAACAGGTGAGTGTCAAAACAAAACAGGAAGTGGGAGACAATACAAAATTGACTAAACAAAAACATGAAACATGACTAGACTCAACACTTTTGACGGGACACAGACATTTTCTTCAACACAGTGGATTCAACTTTTAAAACTGATGCCTCTGATGTGTATTTGCTGGCGCTGTGATCATGCTGCTGTCTCTTTTGTTGTTTTCTCTGCATGGAGTCAAATAAGGGGGAACAACTCTGTTATCTTTAGCCTATTTTAGTCGATATGCAAGCACATAGTCCTATTGTTGCATAGTACGAGTCCACAGCACATAGAAACTGCCGGATGCTAACTTGCACATGTTTGGCAATTCACACAATTAGCATTAATGAGTATGTGCAGACTAAACAATGGCTTGGCCGATTTGGCAATGTTAGTGTGGTTTTGGAGGTATATTGACGATTTTGAATACATTTCAGTACAAATATGGCTGCTTTCTGGTTAAAACTGAAATAGCTTATCCTGAAAATGACAAATTGATTCAACATCCTCCAAAATCACACCAAAATTGTCCAAATCGGCCAAGCCATTTTTAGCCATTGGTGTCATATGCTAATTCATGCTTAATTTGTATTCTCCAATACTTTCTTGTTATCTTTTGTTGTTATTTCATCCACCTTGAAATTAAACTGAAGGTTAGCAGTGAGATAACAGGAGCAGCTTAAGTAGCCGGAGACTCATTTAAGAATATATATTAAGAGGCATGGGGTAAATGAAGCAGATGGCATCATCTTCAGACTGGTCTTTCCCTCCATCCTGTGATAAAGACACTAAAACCCTCTGGCCAGTTGTTAAGTCGCAGTACTGCTGGTGTTAACATGAAGTAAGACCATGCAGTACAGATGCCTCGGGCCTCCAAGGTATTTTTTTTATAGTATTAATCTTTAAAACCGTCCACCTGTAACCTCAGCAGTAACAACTACAAAGAGTCTAACACTTTTAACTGCCTATTGAGACAAATAAAGGATATCCAATAGAAACCTATTCTTTAGGGTGCTTTTGAATAAAAATGTTCCTTACTTTACAAAGAAAAAACGCATCTATTGAACAGTTGTCTTGTACATGATAAAGAATTATATTCAGCTGCGTCCATCAGAATTGAATAAATGGCATGTTTTGTCTCCCGTTTCCAATGTTATAGGACCATTGAATGGCCGTTATTGGTCCTAACTCCCAGGGCCGTTTCTAGCTATTTGGGGGCCCTATGCAAGATGCTGTTTGGGGGCCCTATTTTGTCAAACTACATTGGGAGGATTACAAAGCCTTTAAGATGATCTGTGGAGATGCATTAATCTGTTACACTTTAAGAGGAAAACAGGCTAAATTAACGAAAACCTCTCTTAAATTCAAATTGAACATCTCAAGTTGACCCAAGCAATTGAAACTTACAGAAAATGATATTAAAAAAAGGTAAACAATGAGGCTCCTCTATGTCAATAAATGAAAGAGATGCAGCATTTTCTCAAAAATGTTTACTTTACATTTTTCCTCCTCCTCAAAACTTCTGCTTCCTTGCTTTTTTAGAAGCAAAGTCATCAATAATGTCATCATATGACAGCTGCTTGCCAATCTCATGGTTGATGCTGATTATGGCAAGACCAGTGAGGCGATCCTGTCCCATGCATGACCTCAGGTAGGTTTTGATGAGCTTCAGCTTTGAGAAGCTCCTCTCTGCTGAGGCCACAGTCACAGGAAGAGTGCAGGCGATTCGCAGGGCAATCCACAGATTGGGATACAGTTCATTCAGGGTTTTTTTTGTGGATGAAAGAGAGGAGCTCCAGTGCAGTCATTTCACATGTAGGCAGGCTTGGCAGATTGGTAATTTCCAGAGCCAGCTCCTTTCCATTAATGTCACCTCCATCTCCAGTGCTTAATGTGCTGCAGAGCTTGTCACACTGGTTGCACAATTCCACACCATCCAGTTTTTTGAAGTTGAGCAGCACTCCAAATCTGGCTCTCACTTCACCCAGAGTTTCAAATCTATCCTTTAAGGATTCAATAGTCGTGTCAACAACTACATTGAAGAATGTCGTTTCTAGCCTCTTCATGGCATCTGCAATAGGCTCGTCTGGGGCTTCATAGGCAAAGTGTTTTTTTGTGCTTCTCATTCTCTTCTCTTTCAACACAGCCTCCACATTCATTTCCTCACACATGTCTTTAGCAGTGGCCTGAGCTGCAGCAAAGCCAGTGTCTCTATAACTAGTCAGAGACATGTTTGCCTTTGTAAGGAGGTCAACTGCCACATCAAGCTGCATTGTGGCAGACTGCAGGAGCTTGCTAACATGGTTCACATGGTGAAGAATGTCATACCATACCACTGTGCAAATGAGGAAGCGGTATGACCCAACCTCTTCTGCCAAACTCTGTGCTTCAACCTTGGTCAGGGGATCTGTCACTTTGTCCCTGACCTCCAACAATGCCTCCCTTATGTTAGGGGCCTGGTACCGCACTGCCTCTATGCTGTTGACACGGCTCTCCCACCGTGTGTCACTCCAAGACTTAAGTGCAATAGTCAGATGTTCCTTTAGGATTGCCCATCTTTGTGGGGCTGCTGAGAAAAGGGTGTACAGTTTCTGTACATTACCAAAGTAGCTGATGGCATCTGTCGACGCTTTTGCTGCATCAGCCACCACCAAGTTCAATGAATGTGACACACATGGAACATAAAGTGCACGTGGATTTTTCTGGAGCAGCCTTGCTTGAACCCCTCTGTTCCTCCCCTTCATGTTGGCACCATTATCGTATGATTGACCTCTGCAATCATCAAGTGGAATATTAAGCTCCTTAAGCCTGTTCAAAATCAAAGATGACAAACCAAGACCTGTTGTTTCGGAAGCCACAATAAATCCTAGAAAGTGTTCCTTGATTGTGGGCGCTCATTATGACAGTCCTTATGATGACTGACATCTGCTCTTGGTGGCTTACGTCAGGGGTACAATCCAAAATGATTGAATAATATTTGGACTGTTTAATCTCAGTCACCATTGTGTCCAACATTTTCCCACTGATTGAAGCAATCAGTTCATTTTGGATCAGATTTCCAAGATAGCTGGAATGACTGAACTGGCCACTCTCCACACGCTCAATGTGCTGCTTCATGACAGGATCACATTTAGCTAGAAGCTCCACCTCTTTTAAGAAGTTTCCATTATGTTGCTGGTGTAATGTGTTTGCTGAACCTCTCAATGCAAGATTTCTCTCAGCCAAAGATTGCATTATAGAGATCAGGCGGGTTAGGACATCTCTCCAGCGCCTCTTCTCAGCCTTTAAAAGTGTCCTTTCAGCTTGGTCTATGGTCTTTCCGGTTTGTAGACGCTGTTCAAAATCTTTCCAGGTTGCCATGAGGGTTGTGTGCTCTGGACTACTTTCGTGACTTTTCAGAAGCATGCCTATGCTGCTCCAGTTTGATAGTCCCTCTGTCATTAATTTGTAGTCCTTCCTTGAAAATAACTTGCAGCAAAAGCAGTAAAGGGCATCGTTTTTTCGTGAGTAGATAAGCCAGGTCCGCTTTATCTTTTCCCCATTCACTAATGTTCTGTGGAAATAATGATGGTGAAAGCTCCTACCATCTTCTCTTGGAAAAGTGAATTGTTTATCAACCTGAAAAGGCCCTCTACCTACTAAATCGGTCCTAAAGGAATCGGGTAGAACTGATGGCCAATCAGCTGGATCTATTGCTGGACCAAAAGCTGGCTGCTCTGCTTGTAAGTCTGCAGGAGGAGCAGATTTACCTGTGGCTCAAGACGTGATGAGAAGGATGGACCTGCATGTGGCTCAGGAGGTGATGAGGAGGATGGACCTACAGGAGGTGATGAGGAGGATGGACCTACAGGAGGTGATGAGGAGGATGGACCTACATGTGGCTCAGGACGTGATGAGAAGGATGGACCTGCATGTGGCTCAGGAGGTGATGAGGAGGATGGACCTACAGGAGGTGATGAGGAGGATGGACCTACAGGAGGTGATGAGGAGGATGGACCTACATGTGGCTCAGGACGTGATGAGAAGGATGGACCTGCATGTGGCTCAGGAGGTGATGAGGAGGATGGACCTGCATGTGGCTCAGGAGGTGATGAGAAGGATGGACCTGCATGTGGCTCAGGACGTGATGAGAAGGATGGACCTACATGTGGCTCAGGAGGTGATGAGGAGGATGGACCTGCATGTGGCTCAGGACGTGATGAGAAGGATGGACCTACATGTGGCTCAGGAGGTGATGAGGAGGATGGACCTGCATGTGGCTCAGGACGTGATGAGAAGGATGGACCTGCATGTGGCTCAGGAGGTGATGAGAAGGATGGACCTGCATGTGGCTCAGGACGTGATGAGAAGGATGGACCTACATGTGGCTCAGGAGGTGATGAGGAGGATGGACCTGCATGTGGCTCAGGACGTGATGAGAAGGATGGACCTGCATGTGGCTCAGGAGGTGATGAGGAGGATGGACCTACAGGAGGTGATGAGGAGGATGGACCTACAGGAGGTGATGAGGAGGATGGACCTACATGTGGCTCAGGACGTGATGAGAAGGATGGACCTGCATGTGGCTCAGGAGGTGATGAGGAGGATGGACCTACATGTGGCTCAGGAGGTGATGAGGAGGATGGACCTACATGTGGCTCAGGAGGTGATGAGGAGGATGGACCTACATGTGGCTCAGGAGGTGATGAGGAGGATGGACCTACATGTGGCTCAGGAGGTGATGAAGAGGATGGACCTACATGTGGCTCAGGAGGTGATGAGGAGGATGGACCTACATGTGGCTCAGGAGGTGATGAGGAGGATGGACCTACATGTGGCTCAGGAGGTGATGAGGAGGATGGACCTACATGTGGCTCAGGAGGTGATGAGGAGGATGGACCTACATGTGGCTCAGGAGGTGATGAGGAGGATGGACCTACATGTGGCTCAGGAGGTGATGATGAGGATGGACCTGCATGTGGCTCAGGACGTGATGAGGAGGATGAGGAGAATGGACCTGCTTGTGGCTCAGGAAGTGATGAGGAGGATGGACCTGCATGTGGCTCAGGAGGTGATGAGGAGGATGGACCTGCTTGTGGCTCAGGAGGTGATGAGGAGGATGAGGAGGATGAGGAGGATGGACCTGCTTGTGGCTCAGGACGTGATGAGGAGGATGGACCTGCATGTGGCTCAGGAGGTGATGAGGAGGATGGACCTGCTTGTGGCTCAGGAGGTGATGAGGAGGATGGACCTGCTTGTGGCTCAGGAGGTGATGAGGAGGATGGACCTGCTTGTGGCTCAGGAGGTGATGAGGAGGATGGACCTGCTTGTGGCTCAGGACGTGATGATGAGGATGGACCTGCTTGTGGCTCAGGAGGTGATGAGGAGGATGGACCTGCTTGTGGCTCAGGAGGTGATGAGGAGGATGGACCTGCTTGTGGCTCAGGAGGTGATGAGGAGGATGGACCTGCTTGTGGCTTAGGACGTGATGAGGAGGATGGACCTGCTTGTGGCTCAGGAGGTGATGAGGAGGATGGACCTGCAGCATCTGGCTCTGCTTGCACAAAGTACTTGAGAATTGTCCCTGCAAAGACAAAACTCCTTAAATTAGCAAGCAAACTTTGTTGTTGTTTATTTTTAAACAGTCATCATACAAACATTAATTATAAACATATCACAATGTAAACTTATACAACAGTAATTAGTGACTGAAAAGGCTTTGGCAAAAAGCTTATATATGAATATCCTATATTCTTATAATTACATCGAAAACAAAACAAATACATTATTCACATTTGTATCCCCCAAAAAAGCAATACAAACTATTTCTTGAAAACCAAAAAAAAGGTACATTTTTAAATGTACATTGGCTTTGTTCCATAATTTAACCCCAACAATAGATAAATATTATATTGATTTCTTTATTAGCTTTTTGAAAAATAAACGTACAGATACCTCTTGAATCCTATTAACTTTCCATTACATTGCATTTAGCTGAGGCTTTTATCCAAAGCAACTTACAATAAGTGCATTCGACCAGGAAGACACAACCTTGAAGAAAACAGAATCATAAAGTACATCAGGTTTCATAGAGCCAAACATTTCAAGTGCTACTCAACTAGCTTTAGATAAGCCAGTCCTTTGTTAGTATATAAGTGCTTTGTTAGTAATTGTATTGCTCGAAGTGGAGTCGAAAGAGATGAGTTTTCCTCTCTTGAAAAACAGACTGGGAGTGATTTTGACTTAGCCTGCTATACTCCAACACAGCAGGTGTCACTCCCATAGCACAGTCCATTTTGCATGACAATTTTATTTGAGCCTTTTCGTAAAGCAAACACTGTATTAAAGTGGGTTTATTCGCCTACAAAATACAAACAATCCTAGCCAACTAGCTCTTATCAATTAAGCTGAAGCTAACGGAGATAGCGGAGCTAGCTGAGGCTAGCGCAGCAAGCATGACTTGCTCAAAAGTAGCAAACTTGCTCAAACATTGGCTAACATTATAGCTACTCCCTCCACCCCACAAGTGAATTTACACCATGAACAAATGCCTTACCCTTATTCTCATCATGTGAGCGTTTTTCTTCTTCAGCTTTCTTCTTTTTTCTGAACCAGAGGGATATGTCCGTTTTGAAGCCATGATTATCCCATTACGCTCGCTACTCTGACGTGCCGCGGCTGAATCTGAACTTTCAGCTCGGGGCCCCCTAGTGGCCGCCGGGGCCCTATGCAACCGCATAGTCCGCATATAGGAAGAAACGGCCCTGCTAACTCCTACTATACTAATGGTTCAGATTTGAACCAGTGTAAGGCCTAGACACAATTTAGACAAAATGTCACTGAACGAGAAAAAGGACGTCTAACCGAATCATGTCTACCCCAGCTCCCCGATGATGTACTGGCATATGTTAGTCGGTTAGCTTATGATGGAACACAAGTACTCTGGAAGAGATGTGTGTGTGTGTGTGTGTGTGTGTGTGTGTGTGTGTGTGTGTGTGTGTGTGTGTGTGTGTGTGTATGTGTGAGCTAGTTAGAGCCAGCTTTCAATTATGTAGAAAGCTGGCTGAAACATTGAGTGTCTTGTGATAAGGGACGTGTGTGTTTTATTTTCGACATAGTATCACAGTATTTCAAATGAGTATGGCATTACTTTTTCAAAGTAATCTCAATCCAGAAATAAAACAAACTGTCTATCGTGGTTCTGACACTCATTGTTGTATTTATTAATATTTTCCCCTAGGGGATAAATGTTTCAATAAAATGTTTTTACATACAATATAAAAAGGGTATCCATGAATTTATTATTTGAAATACTAGAACAATAAAAAAGACGAAATATCACTGCATTCTAAAATTGGGTTCAAAAATAAAAAAGCTAAAACAAAGTACCTCAAGTTTTGTACAAATTGTGGACTGCAGCTGTGGGCCATATTCTATTCTATTAATCTCTACATAGGTGACCTTAGCCAGTTCACCAATGTTAATGGGGTTAATGGCTGTCTCCCTTAAAGTGGTCACATTCATCGTCCATGAATCATCGCTAAAGATAAGATTACAGCATCAGCATTATGTCACAAATACCGAAGCATTATTGTAATCTCAAAACCAAAAAAGTTTGATACAAAATTGAATCATCAGTTAAAATGTGACCTGCTCTATCGAAATCAGTCGCATTGACCCGAAGACACATTTTGAGTTGTATCCACTGTTGGAAAGAGGATATTCCTAGCTTTCTAATGATATCTGGATTGTTTTTGTACTCCAAATATTAAGCGAAATATGTCACATTAT